GATTTATAGTTCAATTCCGTCTCAATGAAAATCTCACCAAGTTAGTATGTGATACTGAGGAACAAATTTTAAAAACTGTGTGGAAAGGCAAAAGGCCCAGAATAGCCAATACAATACTGAAGAAGAACAAAGTCAGAGGACTGAGACTATCTAGCTTTAAGATATACTATAAAGCTAGAGTGTGGTATCAGCAAAAGAAAAAAGAAAAATAGATCAATGAAACAGAGAGCCCCTAAAGAGAACAACATAAATACAGTCAACTGATTTTTGACAAAGTAATGAAGACAGTATAATGGAGCAAAGGTAAACCTTTCAACAAATGGTTCTGGAACAACTAAAAATTTATGTACAAAAAAACAAAACAAAATCTAGACACATACTTGATACCTTTTGCAAAAACAACAACAAAAACGTCAAAATGTATTATAGCCCTAAATATAAGATTCAAAACTATAAAACTCCAAGAATATAACATAGGAAAAAACCTCCGTCACCTTGGGTAAGGCATGATTCATGAAAGAAAGAATCAATTAGATTTTATTAAAGCCCTGGCCAGTTTGGCTCAGTGGTTAGAGCATTGGCCTGCAAACCAGAGAGTCCTGGGTTCGATTCCCACTAGGGGCACATACCTCGGTTGCAGTTTGTCCCCATCCCTGGTTGGGGTCATGTGGATGGCGACCACTCAGTATGTCTCTTTAACATTAATGTTCTCTCTCTTCCCCCCTATCTCCCTCTGGCTCTGTCTGAAGATAAATGTAAAAAAAAAAAATCTGCCCTGGAAAAGAAAGTCAGAAAACAAGCTACAGGCTACAAGAAAATGTTTGAAAAATATACATTTGAAAATGGCCCAGCCGGTGTGGCTCAGTGGAGTGAGCAGCATCCCATGGACTGAGAGGTCCCAGTTCGATTCCCAGTCAGGGCACATGCTGGGGTTGCAGGCTTAATCCCCAGTAGGAGGCGTGTAGGAGGCAGGAGACAGCCGATCGATGTTTTTCTCTCATACTGATGTTTCTACCTCTCTCTACCTTTCTCTCTCTCTAAAAAAATCAATAAAAAACATACATTTTATAAAAGATACATCTGAAAATAGATTGTTACCTAAAATGTGAAAGAACTCTTAAAACTCAACAACAACAACAAAAACCCCACCAATTACCCAATTTAAAACCAGGCCAAAAAAAACCTGAACAGACACCTACCTCACCAAAGAATATGACAGATGGCAAATAAGTATATGAAAAGATTTTCCACATCAAGTATCATCAGGGAAATGCAAATTAGAAGAGCAATGAGTTACCTGTATACACGTATTAGAATGGCCAAAATAAAACACCAAATGCTGGGGGCATGTGAAGCAACAGGGACTCTCATTCGCTGCGAGTGGGAATGTAAAAGGGACAGACTCTTTGGAATACAGTTTGGAACCTCCTTACAAAACTAAGTATATTCTAATTATATGATCCAGCGATCATGCTCCTTGACAATTTACCCAAAGGAACTGAAGACTTATGTCCACACAAAAATCTGCACATGGATGTTCATAGCAGCTTTATTCACAAGCACCCAAACTTGGAAGTAACCAAGATGTCCTTCAGTAGGTGAATGGCTTAACTGTGGTATGTTCAGACAATAGAATATTACTCAATGCTAGAAAAAAATGAACTGATAGCCCATGAAAAAACATGGAAGAAACTTAAATGCATATTACTAAGTGAAACAAGCCAATTTGAACAGGCTACATATTATATGATTTCAAATATATGACCTTCTAGAAAAGGAAAAACTATGGAGACAGTACAAAAATTAGCGGTTGCCAGGGGCTGGGGAGAGGATGAACAGAGCACAGAGGATTTCCGGGGCATTGAAACTACTCTGTATGATAGTATAATGATAGATATATGTCATTATACATTTGTCCAAACCTATATAATATACAACACCAAAAATGAACCCTAAGGTGAACTATGGACTCTGGGTAACAATGCTATGTCAATATAGGTTTATTAATTGTAACACATGGACCACTCTGGTGAGGGATGTTGATATTGTGAGAGGCTATGTATGTGTAAAATCAAGGGGTACATAGGAAACCTCTGCTCCTTTTTCTCCATTTTGCTGTGAACCTAAAACTGCTCTAAATAATCATGTTGTTTTTTAAAGTATGCTTTGTTGTTCATATGTTCTGTTTTATTATGACATTCCCACAAAAACTGCAAGGTAGTTGCGTTTGTCTAAATTGCATGTTTGCAAATGAGGGAAGTGGTACTGAGAAATGGTAAGTAACTTTCCCTGTATCCTAAAGATAATAAATAAGTGGTGTAGTCTGGACTAGAATTAAGGTTTGTCTGACAAAATTTATATTCTCTCTACTTTACCAGGAGTCAGCAAACTACAGCCTATGAGCTATACTAACTCACCACCTATTTTGGTAAGAATAAAGTTTTACTGGAACACAGTGACATTAATTATTGTCTGTGGCTTCATTTACATGACAACAGAACTGAGTAGTTGAGACAGAGACACTATGGCCTAAAGTATTTTTTATGTAACCCTTTACAAAAAAAGTTTGCCAAGAATTGCACTATACCACTGTGTCTTCTCGTGGTCATTTCTGATCCTAAATCCTGTGTTTGAGTTCAATTTTTAATTCGACATCAGAATGTAACTAATAAATAACTTATAGAACATACTATATGCTAAATACCATAACAGACATTGATGATGATTTTTAAATGTGACATGTAAACAAATTACAATTTTTTATAATAATCTCATGTGATTAACAGAATTAATCTCTGAAAATAAATTTTTTATTTATCCAAACTCAAAATTAACAATGAAAACAAATAAGTTTTCCAGATGACCTAGAAAATGTTTTCCAGATGTTTATTACCTAGAAAAGAACAAATGTATTAATTTAATATTCAGAAGTTTCTGGACTGACTACAAACTAATCAAGTAAATGTTATTACTATTTAAAAATCCTTTTAAGTTAGTTATAAAGCAACTGAAATCAAAGAATATTTGTGTAGCATGTACTTGCGTAACTTGGAAAACTGAGGACAAATATAAAGATATTGAGTATCTGCATGTCATTGATTCAGTATTCAAACTTCCATCTAAAAAGATATAATTTACACTTCACAAGAAAGAACTTGACATTAACATCAATTGTGTTCTCTTGTAACACTTTAATTCAATGATTTTCTGAAAAATTTTTAAGATTGAGAAAGAAAACTAAAGATTTGTGTTAAGATCAACCAATAAAAGAGTCTATGAACAGTGAGAAAAAACACTATGAGAAGCATTCATAAAAATCATTTTTATGGAAAACAATATGGTGTTTCCTCAAAAAATTAAAAATTGAACTGCCCTTTGACCCAGTGATACCATTTCTAGGAATATATCCTAAGAAGCCTGAAACATCAATCAGAAAGAATACATGCACCCTTATGTTCATAGCAGCACTATTTACAATAGCTAAGATCTGAAAATAGCCCAAGTGTCCATTAATAGATGAGTGGATAAAAAAAGCTGTGGTACATATACACAATGGAATACTAGGCAGCTATAAGAAAGAAAGATCTCTTATCCTTTGAGATGACATGGAGGGACCTGGAGAGCATTATGCTAAGTGAAATAAGCCAATTACAGAAAGACAAATATCACATGATCTCACTTATTTGTGGAATATAATGAACAAAACAAACTGATGAACAAAATAGACCCAGAGACATAGAAATAGGGATCAGACTGACAAACCTTGGGGTGAGGGTTGGGGGGAGATAAACTAAAGAACTTATACACATATAAGCATAACCAATGGACATAGAAAACAATACTGCAAAGGAGGACAGGAGTGGGGAGGAGGGTGTCAATGGGGCAAAAAGGAGAAATGTATATAACAAAAAAATTAATTAATTAAAACTATTAAAAAATCATCCTAAGAATATCTTTTCTCCAGCCCGTCTATGTTGGAGAGACAGAATAGCTTTCTTTCACCCCACGGACATAGGCACAGTACCTTACACCATTCAGTATACTTATGCTCACCTTTCTGCTCATCCTGTGGCTACTGCTGCTACAGGGGCCACCAGAGAATGTGGAGGAGCTCAGAGGAGCAGAGGAGAAAGAGGGGATGTGGAATGAGCAATGCATGAGTGTGGGCATGTGTGTATGGGGGGTGGGTGGATGCATGTGTGTCCCTGTGGATGAGTGTGTATATATTTGTGCATGTCTAGTCCTTCCCCAAAGAATCTGAAGTTTGTAAAATAACACCCAACCTAATAAAGTTTACGATAAGAAAAAGAGAGTCAAGGTCTTCATGAATACTCCAAGGTGGGAATTTAGGAAAAGGTAGAAATGATAAGCATCAATTTCATTACTTATGTTGTGTATCGTCTGATAAGTGAAATATATAAATGTCTTTGAGACATTAGTAGCAGCCCTCAAGTACTTTCTTGAGCTCTTAGTCCCTAGCTTGTCAAGTGGTCTCAAGGAATCACTCCACCAAAGACTTTTCTGTCTTTTTCTTTTCAGATCTCTTTTTTTTAGGTATCCCAGGACTATATGAATGTCTTATTTTTTTTAAAGAATTAAAATTAGGAATATTATTCATAATGACAAAAGAAACCAAAGGCCCATGAATAATTTTGATTCTTATAATATTCTTGATTATATTTTAAAAGACTGATTTTAAAAAGTCCTCTGAAATAGACCTTTATGCACAGGTACATTTTTCAAAAGAAACAAAAAAGTCTTCAGTATTATTGCAAAATTCAATAATCTGAAATAAAAAAACCAAAAGATTACATTCACTTTTTACTATTAGCGCAAATATACATATTCACCTACCCACACATAACTCTGGTTCAATCCATCCTTTTGACAAGTGATGATGCAAAAATGAATCAAGGGAGAAATACCAGCATTTACAGCATCAATCATCCTAACTCATCAATCATAAATACATATCAAAGTGACACTTTGGGCTTACCTACCTACATAGAGAACACCCTCTTTTGTCTTTCCCGCTGCTTCTGCCACACCCTGTTTGGTTTTTTCGGCAGCAGCCACGACTCCCTCCTTGGCCTTTGAAAGTCCTTTCATGAATACATCCATGGCTAATGAATTCCTTTACACCACACTGGAGAACACAAAATACACTTTGAATGAGAACTTTGGGATAAAACAAAACAAAACTAGAAACACCCTGAAAGAACAGTAGAACTCCCAAACGTGTGAGGCTCTTTTAAGTGCACCCTTAATTCAACCACTGGACAAAGCAGCCTTTTTTAATCTTTTGCATTAAAAATTGAGCATACCCCATCCATCTTGGCTAGTACAAGTGTAGCCGCCTAAACATGGATGAGGATGAATCATCTCAGCTGTTCTCACTGAATTTCCGAAGTGGAGTTGCATGAAAAGATGGACCCTTCTTTCAACTCCCAGGGTCCAAACGGTGACAGTATAAGTTACAAGTACGTTTAAAGACAGATCACAGGAAAAGAAAGGGAGCTGGAGGTTTGGGGTTAGGGACAATGAAAATGAATTCCAGAAAAGGTCTAATAAGCAGATCAAGGAGGCCGGGGGGTGGGGGGAAGAGAACTACTCACCCTGGGTGTGGCTGAACCTCAGGCCAACTGGGAGCCCACCCGCACTAGCTCCAATCAACCCCACCATCCACGGGGCCCTCAGCTATCTGCCCAGAGCAGGTGCCCGTTCACTCGCGCCCGCAGTCTCCAGCCCGGCGCCTGCCACCCGAGGGGGCGTTCTCTGCGCGCGCACAGCCCGCTCCCCACCCCGCGCCCGCACCTGTTAACCCCTTACCACCTGTTGACTTGCCCTCTCCGCACTTGCATTTAATTATCTGCCAAGCACAGCTTGTTTACTTTACCAAGAGAACCGAGAGGGACTCTGGGGGATTTAAGGTAAGAAAGTTGGATGCTCACGCTCCGTCCAGCAGCCTAGCTCTCCCCCAGGGAAAAGCTTATCTCGAAGAAGCCCGACCTCTCAGTCTTTGGAAGAGGGAAATATCGGAAGCGGGGGGAAAGCCTGGTCAACTTACTCTCAGCAGGTCACCGCAGGGAGGAGTACCCAGTTCCGAGAGAGACTAGACACAGCGCGTCCTCCCGGCAGCGCCAACCTGCCACCCACCCCCGACCGCGGCCAGGCGGCCACCAGCACTCCTGTCCCACCAGGTGTTCTCCAGGATTTACGCAGCCGCCCTTCTAGAACCGCAGGTGCCTACCTGAGTCCCTCCGCTCCTCAGCTGTCCGACTTCCCCTTCCCCCTTAAAAATATTTAAACAATTCCCAACTAGTAATTAAATGGAAAGAGGGGGGATTAGGAGCGCCCCAGAAGGCAGAGGCGGCACCTGGAGAGGGACGGTCCCCGGGGAAGGCTGCAGGCAGCACAATCCAGAGATGAGAGGCTGGAGTCCTGGGAGGCGAACCCAAGAACCTGTCGTCGAATTGCCACTCCCTGTCCCCAGCACCAGAGGATCCCAGAGAAAGAGACGGGTCGGAAGGGAAGGCGGGGAGAAAGCGAAGGATGCCAAAGGCAAGGCTCGGGCCCCGGATCTGCTCTGAAGCCAGCACACACCTCACCCCCGTCGCCGCGCTCGGTCGCTCGCCCCCTTTCTCGGGTCCCCTTCTCTTGGTCGGGATCTTCCTCCTCCTCCTCTCGTTCCTCCTCCTTCTCCTCGGCTCACCGCCCCCGCGGCTGATTTGTCAGCGCGACTCCCCGCCCCTCGCCAGCTGCTCCCCGCGCCGCGTGCACTTCACTCCTCTTCTTGGGTGGGGGCGGGGGGAAGGCTGCACCTCAACTCCTGGGGCCCGCCGGATCCTGCGAGGTGGAAAGGTGGGGGTGTTCCGCGCTTCACCTACAGTTCAGGATCACGGGGACTCTGGTGGCGATCCCGAGCGGTTAGGACTAAGCTGACATCTTTCCCATCGCCCCTCCTCCCCTGCCTCTGCTTCTGGCTCCTCACGGGTACCCCCACGTCAGAGCCAACTTGGGGTCTGGGATCAACCATCAAAGATAGAGTCAATCTCTTGGGGAGCTGCTGGAGGAGGCAGGCGGCTCGGAGAGGTGCTCCCAGCCGCACCGCCCAGAGCTCGTTTCCCTGGGTCTCTGAAATTTGATTCGCAGGACACCACGTTAAGAATGCTTTTGCTCAAATGTCCTCCAGATTTTTCTTTGCCCTTAACCTTGCCTGAGCCTGAAAGGGTCCCGCGGGTGGAGAAGAGTCTAGTGAGGAAGAGTTACAGGTTGAGGAGGCAGGAGGAGGCTGGTCAAATCCTCTTTCCACCCCACTATCACCATTTTCTGTTCCTCCAATCAGGGACTGCCAGGCACAGGTTTCCCCATCAGCTGAACAAGAAATAAACATTCCCGGGCCGTCGAAACCTAGTGGTCCTTAGGCTTTTCGTTCTCGAAATGGGATTTACTTTCCACACTCAAGTGCCTGCGTGGAGGAGACAGATCCGGCGTGGTTTTATTTCCCTGGACCGTCACATCCAGTTTATTCTTCAGCCCCTTCTGAAACCGAGGTTCTGCACACCTCTCAGCTTTCTGACTCCCACCAGGGGTTGCCTCAGGGCTGACACCCTCCAACCCCACGCAGACACACAGACCTGCACACGCAGGTTTGCAGACAATCATCGCGCCTGACACGTTTGCACCTCTTTCGGAGCTGGAGGGAAACAGCTGTTCCCGCATCACTGCAGAATGGAGAACCAAGCTCCTCCCTCTAACAGAATGCCTTTGCTTTCTTTGCCTGGGAGGATGCTTTTAGCTGTGGAAGGAAAAACAGTCGTTGCTGTGTTTTTATTTTGTTTTTTTTTTGTGTGTGTGTGTTTATTTGGGGCAGGGTTGGGAGATGCTTTCTCTGACCCTTGCACTCACTTGGGTCGGAAATTTGAATAGTGTAAGATTTAAAATCTACAAAACAACCCGTTGAAACCAAAAGGGACAGGAAATAAGTACATATATGCTTAAATAATTCCTTCTATTATTGACCTGCCCTTTTTAAAAGTAGCCCTTCCAAAACACGCATGTTTTGTTTCATTGGAGTCAAGGAAGAAGGTTAAACTTGAAAGTTGATTTATTGCCTGGCTTTGAGACCTTGAACAAGTTATGGCCTCCTTCTGTTCAATTTTCTCTTGTAATGAGATGATGCCTCTCTTTCAACTTTTTAGTATGGAAAATACTCAACCATATACAAAAGTAGAGAGAATAGAGAATTCCCTGCATATGTCTCCAAACTTCCAACATTTTCAATGCATGGCTAATCATGTTTATTCTCTATGCCCACCCACTTCCCAATTTTTATTACTACTTCCTCTCCAGTTTATACTAAATTCCAAGAATTACATATACCTTCTTCATCTGTAAATATTTCAGCATGCATCCATAAAATATAAGAACTAATAAAAACAACCATAATAATTTTAGGCGGTCTTTTTAAAAAAAGTATAATTTATATACTGTGAAATGCTCAGATCTGAAGTAGTAGTTTGTTTATTTATTTATTTATTTATTTTTTAAAATTATTTATTTATTTTTTTGTTACAGATATTTCTCCTTTTTTACCCCATTGGCACCCCCCTCCTCACCCCAGCCCCGCCCCATCCCCGGCTTAGTTGTCCATGTCCATTGGTCATTTATACATGCATATAAGTTCTGTGGTTTATCTCTTCCAACCCTCCCCACCCCCTCTTCTGAGGGATGTCAGTCTGTACCCTACTTCCATGTTTCTGGGTCTACCATATTCCTCAGACTGTTATGTTCATTATATTCTGTATAAAAGTGAGATCATGTGGTATTTGTCTTTTTCTGCTTGGCTTATTTCACTTAGGATAATACTTTCCAGGTCCCTCCACGTAGTCTCAGAGGATAAGAGATCTTTCTTTCTTACCGCTGCATAGTACTCCATTGTGTATATGTACCACCGCTTTTTTATCCATTCGTCTACTGATGGACATTTGGGCTGTTTCCAGATCTTAGCTATTGTAAGTAGTGCTGCTATGAACATGGGGGTACATATATTCTTCCTGATTGGTGTTTCAGGCTTCTTAGAGTATATTCCTAGAAGCAAGATCACTGGATCAAATGGAAGTTCAATTTTTAATTTTTTGAGGTAACACCATATTGTTTTCCATAGTGGCTGCACTAGTCTGCATTCCCAGCAGCAGTGTATGAGAGTCCCCTTTTCTCCACACCCTCGCCAACACTTGTTTGATGATTTGTTGATGGCGGCCATTCTGGCAGGTGTAGGTGATACCTCATTGTTGTTTTAATTTGCATCTCTCTGATGATTAGTGATGTTGAGCATTTCTTCATATGTCTCTTGGCCATTTGTATGTCCTGTTTGAAGAGGTGTCTATTCAGCTCCTCTGCCCATTTTTTAATTGGGTTCTTTGTTTTCCTTTTGTTGAGTTGTATGAGCACTCTGTATATATTGGAAATTAACCCCTTATCTGATACATCATTGGCAATGATGTTCTCCCATACAGTGGGTTGCCTTTCCGTTTTGCTGAGTGTTTCTTTTGCTGTGCAGAAGCTTTTTAATTTGATGTAGTCCCATGTGTTCATTTTTTCCTTTGTTTCTGTTGCCTTAGGTGATGTATCAGTGAAAATTCTGCTGCGTATGATGTCCGAAATTTTGCTGCCTACATATTCTTCTAGAATTTTTATGGATTCACGGGGCACATTTAAGTCTTTTATCCATTTTGAGTTTATTTTTGTGTATGGTGTAAGTTGATGGTCTAATTTCATTTTTTTTGCATGTAGCTGTCCAATTTTCCCAACACCACTTATTAAAGAGACTGTCTTTACTCCACTGTATGCTCTTACCACCTTTGTCAAATATTAATTGAGCATATTGCCTTGGGTCCATTTCTGTTTTTTCAGTTCTGTTCCACTGGTCTATATGCCTGTTCTTGTGCCAGTACCAGACTGTTTTGAAGTAGTAATTTATTTTAGTCAGTTTTGAAAAAATACATGCATTAATGTGACCCACATCATTTTGAATGCACAGTGCATTTTTATCATCAGAGAAAGTTCCCTCATGCCCTTCTCAGTTGTAAATATTTTAGAATTTCCAAAACGGAATCATACAGTATGGGCCTTTTTTGTATCTGTCTGGTGTCGATCACTCAGCATAATGTTTGTGAAGTTCATTCATGTTGTTGTTTATTTCTTTTTATTGCTCTTGTTTCTTTTTATTACCCCCAATAATAAATGCTTTCCATTGTGACCCATTATAACTAGGTACCTTGATAGAATTTATGACAATTATTTAATATGTTATTTCATCTGACATATTTATAGTATAACAGGATCCTCCTTAGAACCCAGCGCTTTAAATCAAAGAGGGGAATACAATAGATAGTTTAGGCTCTACTCACTGAAGACCAATAAAAGAATTATTTTGAGCAGTTGTTACTGTTTTGTGCTTGTTATAGGATAGCACGATTCCGCACCTTCAAATGGTACTTCATGCTTGGCAGAGGACTAATGTACTGTATAATTTCATCATAACAAGAGGGTAAGTTAAGTTTTATTATGTACCTTTTATAGACAGGGAATCTGAGGCACAGAGAATTTCAGTAACAGGCCTAGACTGTCTCGCTCTTAAGTGGCAGAGCTGAGATAATCTAGCAGGAACTGTTCCAGACGGCATATTTGTCTCCAGAATTGGCAGTTACTCTCTGAGACTTTACTGACTGAGTGTAATATCAGATCAGAGGGAAAGGGTGAGACCTTACTATTAGAAATGGCCTTTGAATTAGGATACGACAATGGAAATCAAGGAGAATTTATTTACTTTTTTATAAAGCAGTACATCCATATTTGAAATTTTGCCTTTTCCATGTTGTAATTTAAATAGGGAGAGATGATTTCTCACCACCCACATCAAAGAAAAAAAAAGAACTGTAAAACAATTTTTTTTGTCATTTTTAATTATAATTACAATTCCATGTTTTATACACCTTTTTCACTCCTTAAAGTGCCTTGCACATAATAAGCATTCCATAAACTTTTAATTACTGATGATATTAATAGCAACATTGCTTATGTTCTACCTATAGTCTCTTAGCTGTGTATTCTTAAGGAGGCAGAACTACTCAAGAATGAGGAAGGGAATTGGAAGTTAATGAAGATTATTTTTTCATCATTGATTAAAAGCATGGTCTTGAGTAAATTTTTGACTCTAAACATAACTTTAAAATTTAATCTCATTGAATAGTTTGTACCTCATAAGAACTATGAAAGAGTAACCTATAGGGAAACATTACTAATGTGCACATTTTGTTAGTGCAGTCATACATGTTTGGTTTTCTCATAAATTTTAAAGATTCTGCTACTCTTACATAGGATTTCTTTTTTTGGCTTAATACAGTAAGTTCCTATAGATTAACATTCTATGAAATGCATGGTTAAACCTAAACTCTCTTTGTCTTCCCCATAAAACAACTGGGTTTTAGATGTGCCATGAGGTGAACATGTGCTGTAGATGAAATGGCATGAGAAATAAGAAAGCTGCGTATGACCAAGTGATAAAGAGACTTTAATCTGTTTCTTATCCCCTATGTGCATCTTCCTCTCATTTTCTGCAAATGTATGAAAAACATGCAGTAGTGAGACCTTGGTAAGCTCCTCCTGTAATTTCAGAGTGGGCACAGAGGGAAAGCCTAAGGCATACAGTTGAGATGGCGTTGTGTATGACTTTGGAAAGGGGTTGAGCTTGAAACAGGGCAATCTGGTTACTCCAAAGAGATATGAAGAATAATGAAAAAGAAGCATAGTGCCAAAAAAGATTCTCTAGTTTGATCCCATGGGTTCTAGTTTGACACCATTGGCAGCATAGAGTAAATGGACATTTATTCCAGCACAATGTAATTTAGCATATTTATTAATGCTGAGTATATCCTCAACAATGTAGAAATGGTGACAAGAATGTGCTATGTAAAATTAAATTGCATACCATTTTATGTATGTTTCCTTTTTCAAATACAGTTGACATTAAATATTAGTTTCAGGTATATACCCCAGTGATTAGATATTATATAACTTATGAAGTGATCCCCCTGATAAGTCTAGTATCCAGCTGGCACCAAATAGTTATTATAATATTATTGACTATATTCTCTATGCTAGACTTGACATCCCTGTGACTGTTCTGTAACTGCCATATTGTACTTTTTAATCCCTTCACCTTTTTCACCCAGCCCCCCAACCTCCCTCCGTCTGGCAACCATCAGTTTATTCTCTGTATCTATGAATCTGTTTCTCTTTTGTTTGTTCATTTATTTTGTTTTTTGATTTCACAAATAAGTGAAATCATATGGACCTTCTCTGACTTATTTCACTTACCACAGTACCCTCTAGGTCCATCCATGTTGTTACAAATGGTAAAATTTCATTCTTTTTTATGGTTGAGTAATATTTTATTGTATATATGTACTACCTCTTCTTTATCCCATTGTCTATTAATAAACACTTAGGTTGCTCCCATATCTTGGTTGTTGTAAATAATGCTGCAATGAACATAGGGATGCGTATATTTTCAAATTAGTGGTTTGGATTTCTTTAGGTAAATACCCAGAAGTGGAATCTCTGGGTCATAAGGTAGTTCTATTTTTAATTTTTTGAGAAACATACATACTGTTTTCCATAGTGGCTGCACCAATTTGCAATCCCACCAAGTATGCATGAGGGTTCCCCTTTTTCCACACCCTCACCAACACTTGTTTTTTGACTTATTGATGATAGCCATTCTGACAGGGTGAGGTAGTATCTCATTGTGCCTTTAATTTGCTTTTATCTGACGATTAGTGATGTTGCACATCTTTTAATATGTCTTTTGACCAAACTGTACATCATTTTAAATATCCCTGTGATTTTTGTGGTACTAAAAATATGAAGACATGCAAGATTTCAACATTAAAGAATTTAAAGCCAGAGAGAAAGATCTTTAAATATTTTAGGATCTAAAAAGTTTAAATGACTTTAGAATTGGAAGTAAAAGATATTATGAGCTCAAGAAATTCACTAAGCTCTGGCAAGCATGGTAGACTTCTGAGCGTGGAAGAACTGCGTACAAGTTAAACTTGGTAGCAGTGAGCCAGAGCAGGTATCTAACCTCTCTAATTTCTAATTTTCTCATGTATAAAATGGGGGTAATATTGTACTTGTGTGTGATTGTTGTAAGGAATAAAAAATATGATTTTAGCAAAGAACAAGCACAGTGGAATCTCCCAGTACAAATAGTCATTATTATCTAGCCCCCATGTTTCAGGGTGCCCTAGAAAATACTCTCCTCATTGCAGTAGTTTTCTACCTTATTCCCAGCCCTCCCCAACCTCCATCCCACCTGAGACATACCTCAGGTATCTGATGCCTCTCCAACAATAACACTGGCTTCCTATGGTAGGTAAAAAATCTCCAACCAGGCATGCAAGTTGTGAGGAGATAGAGAGGGGAGATTCAATGAAGGGGTCATTAATGTAAAATCTGCCAGATATTACTTTTCCTCCCTAATATGTGGAATTCAATAACATCGGTAGCCTCAAGAAATATGAGGACAGTAGTAGAATTAGTAGTCTTTGTGTTTATTAACAGTTTTACATTCTGGAAACCTGGATTTTTAAGAAAGGGCAATGGCAGAGCTCCACAGGAACACTGTTTGCCAAGGCAGAAAAGTAAGACGATGTAATGAATGGAGTTCCAGACTTGCCCCATGCGTTGTGACAGCAGCTCTGAAAGGCTTCAGAGTGGACGTCCAGTTCGGAGATAAACGCAGCCTCTAGTGCTCCAGGTGCGTGAAGAATGGACTGTCTGATAAGACAGGGACAGATCTAATTCTACTTTTAATTGCATTCGCGCTCAGAAAGGCAGAAAAATAAATTGATAAATAATCATTTCAGGGAAATTCATAATGTTTTGCATAGTGTTTTGAGCTGCAATTATAATGCCTTCATAAACGGAGAAATTATAACAGTTTAATAACATGAGCATGTTTTATATAATATCAGAATTATCCAGGCGTCTAATATATTTCCTTCTATAGAAAATTTGAGAGCGTGAAGTGGCATTTAAGAAATTATCTTCAACACTATTTAAAAAGCATAGCATTAATGTTTTGAAAGCTTGTTATGCCACCTTATTATTAAGAGATTAAGAAACAGAAATTATTCAGAGAAGAATAACTTCTTAATGGTTACTTGATAAATACTTTAATATCAAAACATATCCATGTTAATAAATACAGATTTGTCACATCATTTTACTATAAAACATTACATTGTACCATGTAGGCAATTAATCAATTGTCTATTTTTAATTTATTTTTATTTTTAAATTTTATAAAAATCCCTTGAGTTCAGTTTTTCTGTAATTATCTTCACAAGAATAGGAAAGCGCTTGCTTATATGCTCAGTGTAATTATTCTTCATAAATATTTACATATTATTGAGTTCCCCTTAAATCAACTTCTCTATGATAAACCATGATTCTTTCTTTAGGTCTCTGATTCTTTTGTCAATACACCCCTATTTAAATTTCTGTTAAATGTTCTGTTACAATAAAAGCTGTTTTGTTTTGGATTTTTTTGGTCAAGATAAGGAGAAACTGCAAGTACTCAAATTAACCACAAATAATTTTTTTTATAGTAGTGGCTATTACACTTTTGAGAACTGTCAAAAAATGAAGTTGTACATTTTTATTTTACATTATCAATACTTAAAGTTCAGAAATAGGTCTGGTTAAATTTAACTTGCAGTTTCACAGATATGTCTTTAAACATTTATAACAAAGAAAAAATGGTGTTTAAACATCTTCACATAATGTAGTCAACAAAAAGAAAAACTAATTCATAAAAAAACTTACTGAGCCCTGGCTAGTTTGGCTCCGTGGTAAAGGGTCCGCCTGCAGACCAGTGAGTCTCGGACATGAAGTCTCAATTCCGGTCAAGGGCATGTATCTCAGTTGTGGTTCATCCCCGGTCCTGATAGGGGTTGTGCAGGAGGCAACCAGTCAATGTGTCTCTCTCTCCCTCCCACTCTATCTGAAGATAAATGGAAAAATATCCTCGGGTGAGGATTATGGGGAAAAAAAAAACACCTTAGTGATGTTACTCAAATGTGCTGCTGAATTTCAAGTAAGAAACTAGCATACAGCTACAGAAGACAAAAGAATATAATACACACATATACATATAATGCCAAAGAAAAAATGGTAGTGAAAGTATTTGCCAACTCTTTTCAAATGTAAGAGGGACCTGTCTGTGTTTAGTGGTTTAGTTTTTCTCTGTGTATCCACAATCAATTAAATGAGAATTCAATCTCCTTAATCGTCTTGGATTATGGTCTTAACCTGTAGGGAGCATTTTAAATTGTTGAAAATAACACTCCCGAGATATGTTAAAAAATCAAATTGGATTTGTATGACAGGACTGACTGAAATTACAATCAATAAATATTATTTCCCTCATTTTTTTGTTACACAAATAGTACATGCTATTTTTTAAAAATAAGTAAGTGCATATACAAAAAAGGAAAAACAAAAAAACACAACACAAATACAGGCATAACTCAGATGTATTGCAGGTGTAATTCCAGACCACAGGAGTAAAACAAGCATTGTAATCAAGTGAGTTGGTAATCTATTCGCTGCTTGAGGGTATTGCCTTCAATTTGTAAAACACACACCTGGGAGATGCAATAAAGTTGAGCGCAGTAAAATGAAGTGTGCCTGTAAAATAGTATGTCCAGAAATATGTGATAAACTGTGGAGTCTCTTATTAAAAATTACTTTTCTTGCCCGACTGGAGTGGCTCAGTGGTTGAGCGTCACTCCATGAACCAAGAAGTCGCCAATTCAATTTCCAGTCAGGACACATGCCCAGGTTGTGGGCCTAATCCCCAGTAGGAAGAATGCAGGAGGCAGCCAATCAATGTTCTCTCTCATCAATGTTTCCATTTCTCTCTCCCTCTCCCTTCCTCTCTCTCTCAACAATAAAGAAAAAAGATTTTAATTACTTTTCTTTTAAAAATATGTATCAAAATCATTAACCATTGTCCATACCTTTTGACTAAGTAATTCCACTTCTAGAAATATATCCTAAGAAAATGTTATATAGTCAAAGAACTATTTTATGGTGGTTTATGCAATTTTAAGAATACTCCTGCATTTTTCATAAAATTTTTTCATCAATGCAATGCAAAAGATTCCTATTAAGTACTCATCTACAGCCACTTATTCCTTATGTGACATGTGACACAGCTAGTAAATGATGAGGCGTGTTTTTTTCTGTTCGTTTTCTCAAAGCACACAATATAACAGCAAATACTTGAGCTGACCTTCTCTCCGCCTGCTCTCTGCTCTTTCAGTGATAGAGGTTAGCTATAGCTACCTCGTAAATATGTGAAAATGGATTGAGCTAACTATCATGATGATATGTGAAAGAACCGATTCTACTTAACTTATAAAGCATAGTTTAGGGGTAAAAACTAGAAGGATAATCATTTAACTGTTCTTTTCCTGCAACAAATGCTGCATATAACAAAATAATGCTTACAGAAGTAAAGGATAGACCAGCTGGTGTGGCTCAGTGGTTGAGCATTGTCCCATGCACCAAGAGATCACCAGTTCGATTCCCAGTCAAGGCACATGTCAGGTTGTGGGCCAAATCCCCAGTGGGGGCATGCAGGAGGCAGCTGCTTGATGTTCTCTCTCATCAATGTTTCTCTGTCTCTCTCTCACTTCCTCTCTCTCTAAACTCAATAAAGAAAAAAAAAAGAAGTAAAGGATGGATTTAGTTCTGGACACAGAAGAGCTACTACTGAATAAAAAGAAGGTGAGGTTATAAAAACTCTTTCAGTTCAGTAAAAAAACACCAAAAACAAAGGCCAAAACATCAAAAAATTCTACTTAAAAGAATTGGCCCAAGTGTATTGTATTCATTACTAATTTTTCAAAATAATCTGTTTAAAAGTATTCCATTTTATCATCTGTAAAATGACTACTCCTGAAGAAGTGATGGGCATCAGGCTGTGAGGCTGAAGGACATCCAGTTCCACCACTGACAGCATATAGTGTATGCCATCGTATGTTCAACTAGAAATCTAAGCAAGTGTGAACATTTGAAAGAATTAAACGTTCTTCTGTCTAAAATAATTACCTTCCCTTCTCTGTCATTAAAGGCAGCTCTACTAGAAGAGCATCAAAAAAAATCCATCAGACTGCATCAGTATTGCCAGGTGCAACATGGCTGTCAGCAACTGACGTATGTGGTTAATGAGCTTTAAACTTCATTTTAATGCATACACTACCCTGTGAATAACCATTTATGTGTATATAATTAAAATAGTTGTTTAGCATAAGTGTATTTAAAATATATTGTTTTACTTCAGGAAGTTTAGATACTTGACAGAGAATATTGCAAGTGGTGAGGTTCCGTTTTTACTGCAAAGCTGTGGGACATATCTTGCAAAGGTACAGAGAGAATTATCTCAAGAGTAGAGGCTCTCAGACATCTTGAACTATCAAGGCTTAAAACTGACCTGGCAGAGTGGCAGAGAAGTAGTGAAACAGGGCACACGTTTCTCTCCATTATGGAGGGTCAGCATCTCAGAAATTGATCTTCAAGGAGGAACTTCTATATGGAGTTGCTGGTCCCTATCAGAGAAAGAAGCATGCTCTTGAGAACATTGCAGAACATGTATTCTATTGGTTTCTGTTTATAATAATTAGCTACCACATCCATAGAATTATTTTATACATAATGTTTTTCTCTCGTAAAGCATTGGTTATGGCCTAGGTGACATATACCCTCATGGCCATCACAGTCCTACTTCTCAAGATTTCTTCCACATTCTTCTTTTTCCCCAAGGGGGAAAATAAATTTAACACTTTTCAAATAGAGCTTAATTGCATAGAAACAATGTTATACTTTGTAGAGTACTAATTAGAGCCAATAGTAATAATAAGTCTCATCTAAAATCCTTTCAAATTATAGTCAGTGTTGAAATGGTGTTGAGCTTTTGCACACTTGCCAGATATGCAAGTTAATGTGTTTCTATGGATTTAGAGAGGGCATTATGAGACAATTTCCCACAAGTGAATTGCATTTTCTGATTGACATATTAAGACCCCTAATGAAGGTGAAGAGCAATATAGAAATCTCTCTGAATACACAGATGTTAGAATTAGAAGCTTCACGTAACTAAAGAGGCTCTCATTTGGCCCGGCCAGTGTGGCTCAGTAGATTGAGGGTCACCCTATAGACTGAGAGGTCCAGTTTGATTCCAGGTCAGGGCACAGGCCTCGCCTGGTTTGCAGACTTGATCCCCAGTAGGGGGCGTGCGGGAGGCAGCCAATGGATGATTCTCTCTCACATCGATGCTTCTATCTCTCTCTTCCTTCCTCTCTCTCTAAAAAAATCAATAAAATATATTTTAAAAATAGTCTCTCATTTAGCTAGAATTCTTCCTTCCCTGTTTCATCTTATTCATTCTTTTTCATTATTCTCCTTTTATTTCTCATGACTTTTTTCTTTTAAAATATTGGTCTGATTTAAGTATTAAAAATTTATTTACCAAGACACGAAGAGCCAGTGGAGTTAACATCCCAAGCATTATAAGCTGAATTGCATCCCTCTCACATCTGTATGTTGAAGTCCTAACCTCCACACATCGGAATATGACTCTATTTGGAGATATCATTTTTAAAGAAGTAAAATGAAGTTTAAATGAGGTCGTGGGGGTGAGCTTAATCCATTACGACTGGTGTCCATATACACACAGGAAGACAATGTGAAGACGCAGGATGAAGATGGCCATCTACAAGCCAAGGCAAAACATAAGAAAGAACCAGCCGTGCTGACAACTTGATCTTGGACTTCCAGTCCAAGGATAATGAGAAATAAATTTGTTGTTTAAGCCATCCACTCTGTGCTATAATAGTTACATTTTCAAATAAAAACTGGGTAGCTACGCGATGAGCCTTGTCCAGGGAAGTTTGTAGAAACTGTGTCACTGGCCCAAGATGCAGCAGTCACTATCACGCCCATGGATGATGTGGAGGCCTACTAGTACCATATGTACTAAGCCCTTCATCCCCTCTCAGAATGAAGTATACCAGGACATAACATACACAGAATTAGCACCATCCCATCCTCTCTTTAAAAGTGCTTGTTTTGTACTCTGCAGACTTCAGGAGACGGAGAACAAAATCTGAGGGTACGGAACAAAAACTGGCACTATGAATATTTTAAGACAGATGTGCACAACTAGAAATAAAGTTCTCAATCTTAAATTTAAGGCCCCCAAACCAGATTCACCAGTACCACATGACTGTTATCATTTCAGCTCTCATTCTTTGAAAACAGTAAGAGTGTGGAAGTTAACCTAAAAAATTATTGGTATAGTGAAACTCAAGACTGAGAATTGAATTATAATAAGGTTAGAAAGAATGCGTTTTCTGATTTACCACCCTTCTTATAACCAGCTAGACAATCATAAGCATCCATTATTAATTCCTGAATGTCCTACCCTATAGGTCCATCCATTCTAACTGCCCAGACAATTAATCCAGTAGTAAGTGTGCACATTCACTGCTAAAGAGGGTATAGACCAGTGGTTCTCAACCTGTGGGTCACGACCCTTTTGGGGGTCGAATGACCCTTTCACAGGGGTCACCTAAGACCATAGGAAAACACATATTTCCAATGGTGATTCATAGCAGTAGCAAAATTACAGTTATGAAGTAGCAACCAAAATAATTTTATGGTTGGGGGTCACCACAACAAGAGGAACTATATTAAAGGGTTGCGGCATTAGGAAGGTTGAGAACCACTGGTATAGAGAACATTGCTAATATTCTAAAGGACTAACTTTTTAAATGTATTTTTTCTGGGTCTTGAAATTCTGATTGTGGACCAATGTGTTACTAAATACAGGGTGTGCCCCCAAAATGTATACAGGTGTCTGTAGACTCTATTACATTTTGAAAATAAAATGTATTTTAATAAACATTGGCTTTATAATTATTCAAAGCTGTGTATACATTTTTGAGGGCACACCTTATACTCAGTTCAAATCAATGGCTGTTTACTGAACAATCGAGGTCCACACATTTCTTTACATCCCCAGTGACTGGAATGTGGACCCAGAAGGTCCCCAAACAGTTTTTCACCCACTGATCTCCATCCAGTTTATAGAACTCAGATTATCCTTTGGTTTCATTGTTTCCTACTGTAGGAAACTATCTACTTAACCTAAGAGACTCCTGTGAGTACTAGGTCCTGCATTGGTCTGGGCAGTGCTTGTTTTTAGAACCTGGCAATTCTCCAAAAGTTTCCTAAATACAGATTGCTGAATTTGTGAAAATATTCAAATGTCATTTTGATGTTGATTTAAAATGTTTTAATGCTCGGCCGGTGTGGCTCAGTAGATTAAACCTTGTCCTGTGGACTGAGAGGTCCGGGTTCGATTCCCGGTCAGGGCACATGCCTGGGTTGCAGGCTCGATCACCAGTAGGGGGTGTGCAGGAGGCAGCCAATACATGTTTTTCTCTCAGATAGATGTTTCTATCTCTCCCTTCCTCTCTCTCTAAAAAATCAATAAAAACATATTTTTAAAAAAGTGTTATTTTAACTATTTTATCATTCTAGTTTCACTATTTGGTATTTTCATTAGAATAGTTTTGTTCAGGCACTTTCATTATTTCCCTTTTCTTATGCACAGGTTTCACCTTCACTAATTTTATAATTCTTACTCTCCTATTAACAAAACCAACTTAGTCCGGCCGGTGTGGCTCAGTGGTCGAGCGTCGACCCATGTACCAAGAGGTTGCCGGTTTGATTCCCAGTCAGGGCACATGCCCAGGTTGTAGGCCCAATCCCCAGTGGGTGGCATTTGGGAGGCGGCCAATTAGTGTTCTCTCATCAATGTTTCTATCTCTCTCTCCCTGTCCCTTCCTCTCTCTCTAAAATCAACAAAGAAAAAAAATGAATAAAACCAATTTATCCAGACAGTAAAATTATTGATTATTGTAGGGTGAACAAACCAAAATAAGAAAGAACAACTCTGAGGAACTCACTCATTTTTCTCCATTTTTATTACCTGGATGTTGGATTGTTTATTTCCTAGACTCAGTTCTAAAACTATCAATCATAGCAGAAACACTTTTCAAAGACAGAACTACTAGGGACCCTACAAAGAAAATGAAAACTTGAGAGTTTCTATCCAGTAGCTTCATGGATCCTTAGGGAAAAATTAGACTTCTCTGGTTACCATATTAGTTTTATACTATATAGTTCAAATTTCCTGTCTTTCCAAATACAAGAGAATGTGATTTGTGTCCGTCCTGTTGTGTATATTCAGTGACAAAAGGATGATTCAAGTGAAACTAACATAAATGCAACCTCATAGGTGCTAAAAACAAGCACCAGAAATAGAGATGATCACAGAAGCAGGAAAAATTTTGGCAACATAAAGGTCTAGCCTCCTTATATACTAAAAACAATGTTTATAATCAAATTACTATCACATTTCCCACCATTGGACACAGTAAACAGCGGAGCTAGATTTCAACATTGGGCAGATTCAAACTACAGGATATTGCTGTATAAGTAAACATCACAGCTCAGTATCTATGCAGTAGATAATAATAATTTATAATAGTCAACTCATTATTTTATAGTCCTTAAATAAAAGATATACTTTGTTAATGAATATTTAAAGTTTTGATAAAAGATAATAATTTACCAGAATTAATGTCAGTTTTACGACTAGATCCTCATATTTGTGTCATCAATAGAACTGACAACGATAATTTAAGTTCTCTGTATTTAAATCAAGACATTTAAAATTGAATGAAAAATTATGCTAAGATATTAATTTGCTGTCCGTGAGCACCAGATACTCAATTCTTTGTTGATGAATTATCACAAAATAAGCAGACAATATCTGAAAAAGTGATGCTGAGAAAGATTTTTCTGAACTTACTCAATGTCACTGTACCAGTTATGAAGCCAGTGCCCCTAAGTCCAAGTTCATTTTATTGTTTTCATTGTCTCTCTGGTACTGGGGCTAAGATGCACAAACCATGTTCCTTCCCACTTGACTTTCTGTCCGTTTCTGCAGCTGAGGACCTTCCAGGCTTGGTGGAGGGCAGGGGAGAAATTTGATTCTTCTTATTTGATGGTGGTTATTGTCACTGTTACCTGACCCCAGCCATCTTCCTCCAGGCCAGCAGCTGCAATTGGATCCAGCCCCTGGCTGCTTTCTGTATTTCCAGAAACAACCTAATTTCAGCCACAGGGTTTCCAGTACTGGGAGAGCAGCACCCACTCTTCAGACGTCTGAGGCCCCATGACATGGGATGGGACTCCTCCCCTGGGCTTGGGCTTCTGCGTTATCAGCACCGGCCAAGCAGGCAGTGCCCCTTTCTCATGGGTCCGATTGCAGCCCTGAGCTGCAGAGATACCAGCAGGAGCCTGGTTGCACCCTCTCCGCAGAAGTGTGAATGCCAACTGTAAAGGAGTCCTGCTTTAAGACATCAGGTTCTGATAAACCCAACCCTGGGTCTTTGTTGCTCTGTTTTAGGGGATGACACCTACTTCTCATACTTACTAATCTTTTTTCTTTTCTTTCCAGGTTGTCTTTATGTCTTTTTCAGTCCTTTAGGATAATTTAACCAGTTCTTTTTTTTCAGGGAAAGGAAGGAAGAGGGAGAGAGAGATAAACATCCTAAACAACTCCTACTGGGGATTGAGCCCACAACCCGACCATGTGCCCTGATTGGGAATCAAATCGGTGATGTCTGGTGCATGGGAGGACCCTCAGCCGGGCAATTTAACCAATTCTTATATTAAATTCTCTATGTTGAAACCTACTATTGTCTCCATTTTCCTGACTAAAACTTTATTGACATGCCCAATGATTTGGATTAAAGATAATTAAAACTGTTCTGAACTGTCTGGCCAGTGTGGCTCAGTGGTTGAGCTTGGCCCATGCACCAGATCGCCAGTTCGATTCCCGGTCAGAACACATGCTCAGGTTGTGGGCTCAATCCCCAGTGGGGGGCATGCAGGAGGCGGCCAATCAATGTTCTCTCTCATCAATGTTTCTATCTCTCTCTCTCTCTCTCTCTAAAATCAATAAAGGAAAAAAAAAATTTTTAAATACTGTTCTGAACTAAAGAAAATAAAATTATAGTTTACAAATGTTTATCTTAAGAACATAAAAAAAGGTTTAATAAATAAAACTTTCAGGTTGTTAGTCTTATTTAATACCTGAAATAATGAATAATAAACATATTAATAACATTACTAGTATGTTTTCTCAGTTCCTTTCATAAGGCAAGAAAAGTAAACTTTAGTCTCTATCTCAGTAACCGATTTAGAAATTTGAATTAAAAGGATATAAATAGCCTTGGCCGGTTTGGCTCAGCGGTTAGAGCGCGGCCTGCGGTCCAGAGAGTCACGGGTTCAGTTCCCACTAGGGGCGTGTACCTCGGTTGCAGTTTTTCCCCCGCTCTCTCTCTCTCTTCCTCCCACTCTGTCTGAACAAAAAATGAAAAAAAATGTCCTCGGGTGAAGATAGATAGATAGATATAGATAGATATTAACAAAATTAAATTATTTCACAGTGGAGATTCTGCTTAACCTCACAAATATATAGAACTCAATTTTACTGTTAATTGCTGCATAAAAGTCTCCAAACTAACACTCTTACAATGTAGCATAGCAAAGTCAATAAACAAAGATAATGTGCTTGAAAACACGTTTTTTTCAAATTATAGATTAAAAACCAAAAAAAAAACTAAAGATAATGTCTTTTCTTGCCCTGCTTTTACATAAAACAAGAAAGTGTACAAAGACTAAGAATCTACCACCTCCCATAGGAAAAAGAAAAAGGATAATGTTTCATGAGCACTAACATGAAGCAGGCAATATGCTCATTGTTTCTTGTAGTATCTATTCTTCACATTAACTTTTGAGGTGTGAATCACTAGCCTAGTTGGTATTTAAAACAATCAATACATGAAAGAACGAGTCAAATCTCTAGTTGCCAACATGGTTCACTTCCTCTGTTACATAACTTTTTCAGAAGGTACCAATTTATCACACTATTTATCCCAGGGGTATTTCTTATCTCCTTCCTCTAAATCCTCCCCTTCTCCAGCTCCAGTTCCTTCTTTACCTATATGTAGATTGTCCTCTTCATTTCTCAAATGTTCGCTTTTAAAAATTTGTAAAAATTTCAAGAGTTGCTTTCCTACTGATGCATTGTTTTGTGTGTGTGTGTGTGGGGGGGAGGTTGTTTTATGTTTTGTTTTTTTATCTTCTCCCGAGGATACTTTTGCATGTATCTTCAGATAGAGCAGGGGAGAGAGAGAGGGAGGAGGAGAGAGAGAGAGAAACATCTATGTGCGAGAGACATATCGACTGGCTGCCACCCACACAACCCACCACCCATACAACCCCAACCAGGGCCGGGGACAAACTGCAACTGAGTTACATGCCCTTAGCGGGAACCAAACCCAGGACTCTCTGGTCTGTGGGCCGACGCTCTAACCACTGTACCAAACTGTCCAGGGCTTTTCTGTTTGTTTGTTTTTTAATCATCACCCAAGGATATGTTTTTATTGATTTTAGAGAGAGAGAAAGAGAAACCGCAATTATTGCCTCCCATACACATCCCAACATAGTTCAAACCTGCAATCTAGGTATGTGCCCTGAACAGAAATCAAACCTGTGACCTTTTCTTGTACAGGAGGACACTCCAGCTGACTGAGCCACCTAGCCAGGGCTGCATAGTTGTTTTTTAAATTCATGTAGCACATGGCATTTATTATATATATGCATATATATGTATATATATATATTTATGCATGTGTACATATATACAGATCCATTTGTATTTTATGATCAACTCAGTGATCAGTAGGAATTTATAACAACAGCTATTTTCATCACCTATATTAGTTTTTTAAATGGCCAGTCTTACAAAAGATCCATTTCACTTTTTATTTTATTAAAAAAAATTTTTTTTATTGATTTGAGAGAGAGAGGGAGAGGGAAAAAGAGACATCAATGAGAGAGAACATTGATTGGCCGCCTCCTGCATGCCCCCCACTGGGGATCAGGCCCACAACCTTGGCATGTGCCCTGACTGGGAATCAAACCTGCGACCTCTTGGTGCATGGGTCGAGGCTCAACCACTGAGTCACACCAGCCGGGAAGGGGGGGGGGGGAAGGGGGGGGGCATTTCACTTTTTGTCATACAGTCTGAATTAAAGTACATCATTTTAATTAAGAATACCAAATTAAATTCTCAATTGTGTCTGAGCAAACATTTTAATTGCATATAAATTGCTGAGAAAAATTTTAACTCATACCCTTGTCATAAACATCAAGTATATTAGCAATTGAATTGAGCCATCGCTTGACCACTTTAGTTGTCTCACAAACTCCTCCTCATTGTTGTTTTTCAGACCAACAAATTGCTCTTTAGTATTTATTGACAAAACACTTGAAAATTTTTAAACTATGTCTTCAATCCTTTGACACTGATTTTTTTCTTAATTGCAGCATTTTCACCTGATTTAACATTTAACATTTTGAGCTCGCAGGTGTTAAAAATCTCAATGGCAAGAGGATATTTGACATGCTTTAATACTCAGTGTTCACTTAAAATATGCGGAATTCCCACAGGACAACGAGCCGTACGCTGTCCACTCAGGGAGTGTGCTGAGTTCAGAGGAACTGGCGCTGGAAGTATTGCATTAATAATGCTAGACTTAAAGCTAGATTTTAAGTAATCGAAATGACAAATGGCCACTTCCAGGAAGCTTCTCAATAAACATGAAATGCTCACAGGAAAGAAACATAACACTTCAAGTGCTTAAAGTAAGATTTTGTTTTCCCCTAAAGTAATAACTCCTTGCGAGACGACTGGCTCGATACCTTCATGCCGGTGTTATCACCAGGGATCCTCAGAAAGAATCTCTTCTCCATCTCCAAATGCCTTCTTCCCCAAGCCCCGTATCTGATGGACTCTGACCCTCCAGTATTATGCTTTTAAGATTTAGACCAGTCCAGGACAGTTTATAAACTAACCTGAAATATTTACACATTATAAGAAAGCTTTATGACTCTGTAGGTACTACAAGCACACATGTGTTGATTTAGAATAGTGGAACACTTGCTACTGCAGTTAAATTCAATATTATCACCAACCCTAGCTGTCAGAAAATCTTATAATACCCCAAGTGACAATATCTACAAATGTATGCTTTATTGCAGGAAAGTGATACAAGATAGCAACAATATTAAAGTAAGCAAATGCATCCAAGCCAAAGAGTGTGTCCTTCGCAAGGGGTCCGTAGAGGTCAGATTAGGCTCCTGTGGCCCTCTCTTCTTCAGGCTATCTACTTGCTCACTTGGATTAGGAAAAATCTACAGGTGCACAGAATTTCTCTGAACCAGGAGGCATAAAATGGAAATTAGATTGGGTTTCTTATACTCTGCTGGTCACATAGGCATATTATTGTATGTGATGATCCCCAATGGTATAACTTTTCAGGGTTCTCACTGAGACTAAGTGGAAATCATTGATCTTGCAGTTATTAACAAACAATGCTGACAAGCTAATAAAAACCCCTCTGAAACTTAACTCAGACTCATGGTTATAGAACAACACTGTTAATCAGTGTGCTTCAGGCCTGGCCAGGTGTCAGCGACACGCAGGTGGAGCTCTTACTCCAGCACAAGCAAGGCCAATTCCAGGATTGCTGGAACTAGCCGTTACGGGCGGAGTGGTACAGTGAGTCCCATGCTCCCTACTCCTTTTCACTCCCTGGTTCAGAGGGATGACAACGGACCTCTCTGGACCCCTTGTTGGGAGATGATCTTTGGCTCTGAGGCTTTACTTTAATGTTATTGCTTTAATGTTGTTGCTACTTATTTTCTGGCAATAAAACCTAAGTTTGTAAGTATTACCACTTTGGGTCTCATAGATTTTCTTTGGCAATTAAACCCTGCATAGCTGCCACCATTAGAGCATACTCTCAGTTATACTGTGTAGACAGTTACTGATTCTGTCTATTAATAGATTCAGTCCTCATTATAAATAAATAAGTCTTCACAAATAAAATCAAGCATAATTTCAAAATGAGAGACAGAATTTTAGAGCATAACTTCATGCTTCCCCCCCCCCACATCTACTGCCATCCCATCATCCTTGTGATTTATGTTCCAACAATTAAAATAAACTAAAACAATAATTTGGAATTACCAGAACAACGTGGAATGGATTTTCTTAAACCTACACTTAAGTCCAAATTCTTCCTTTGTCTGAAGTTTCTTTTCTCCTGGTCTAAAAGTGGCCTTGCCATTCCCTTTCCACTTACAGCCCACAGCAGAGATTTTCTCTGCCCGTGGTCTCCCTGGTGGAAAGTGCTGTGTGTCCTTTCCGGTACACCCGAGCCTCAT